GCGTATGGGGTCACGAAGAGCGCGAACGAGCAGGGGCCACGAAGGGCAGATAATGCGGGGACACACGGTGCAACAACGGGGCCACTGAGGGTAGCAACTGGGCCACGTATGATAGCGAGGGGGCCACAAAGGGCGACAGCGGGGCCACGAAGGGCACGCACATGGGGCCACGACGGGCGCGAACGAGCGGGGGCCACGAAGGGCATACATATATGGAGCCACGAAGGGCAGCGAGGGGGTCACGAAGGGCTGCCACGGGGCCACGAAGGGCAGCGAGGGGGCCACGAGTCGGGGCTGCAGCGGGGCCACGAAGGGCAGCGAGGGGGCCACGAGGGGCTGCAACGGGGCCACGAAGGGCAGCGAGGGGGCCCACGAGGGGCTGCAACGGGGCCACGAAGGGCAGCGAGGGGGCCGCGAAGGGCTGCAGCGGGGCCACGAAGGGCAGCGAGGGGGCCACGAGGGGCTGCAATGGAGCCACGAAGGGCATACGTATATTGGGCCGCGGAGGGCATGGACGGGGCCACTCAGGGCAGCAACGGGGCAGCGAAGGGCAGCGATGGGGCCACGAAGGGCGACAGCGGAGCCACGAAGGGCATGCACATGGGGCCACGATGGGCGCGAACGAGCGGGGGCCACGAAGGGCATACATATATGGAGCCACGAAGGGCAGCGAGGAGGTCACGAAGGGCTGCCACGGGGCCACGAAGGGCAGCGAGGAGGTCACGAAGGGCTGCCACGGGGCCACGAAGGGCAGCGAGGGGACCACGAGTCGGGGCTGCAGCGGGGCCACGAAGGGCAGCGAGGGGGCCACGAGGGGCTGCGACGGGGCCACGAAGGGCAGCAAGGGGCCCACAACGGGCTGCAACGGGGCCACGAAGGGCAACGAGGGGGCCGCTAAGGGCTGCAGCAGGGTCACGAGGGGCTGCAACGGGGCCACGAGGGGCTGCGATTGGAGCCACGAAGGGCAGCGAGGGGGCCACGAAGGGCTGCAACGGGTCCACGAAGGGCAGCGAGGGGGCCACGAAGGGCTGCAACGGGGCCACGAAGGGCAGCGAGATCCCGATTCCTAAATAATCTGTGAGGGAGTCCTAAGCGTGAGCGCGACTCCTGGGTGCCTGAGTGTCGGGAGCGCGGCGCTTGAGTAAATTGGGGGACAATTCCAACGCAAGAGCGCGATTCTTGAGTAAATTGCAAAGCAAGTCTCCAGCGAGAGCGCGACTCCAGAGCGCCGAGAGAGCGACTCCTGAATAAATTGTCGGGAAGTCCCAAGCGAGAGCGCGATTCCTGAGTGAAATGCGAGGAAGTCTCAGGCGGGAACGGGGATCCTGGCTAAATTGTGAGGAAGTCTCAGGCGGGAGCCGTTGTTGTTGTGATCCAGGGGCCAACAGCACCGGGAGGGGCACTTCAATTGAAAAAAATACCATGTGCACCGGAGGGGGAGGATCAACAATTTGGATGCTCGTTCTGGGGACCTTCCTGGAGCCACTCGCTCCACTCGTGCGTCGAAGCTGCGTCGAACGTCAGTCGATTTGGGTCGACCCTGAGTCGAACCTGAGTCGAACCTGAGTCGAACTTGAGTCGAACTTGAGTCGAACTTGAGTCGAACTGGGGTCGAACAGATCCGTTAGGTGGGCTCCAGGAAGGTCCCCGAAACGAGCATCGAAAACAATAATTACTCTTAAGTCGCGAGGGCTCCACAACAGTCCGCACCGCGGAGCCCCCCACTTCGGCCAGGCGCCCCGGGACAGCGAATGACCGTGTTCGGCCTCCTCGCTCCGACCTGCTCTGAACGAGCGATGGGTAGGATTAGGTCGCGCCTGTCCCCCTACGGTGGGTTCGTGCGGCGTCGGCGCGCGCAAAGGTTTTTGACACTGTGTCGATCGTCTAACCTTGAATCGATCGCGACCCTGATCGTTCAAGGTTGAATTCCGTCGGGTCCAGTGGCGTTGACGTGTACATCGGTGCTTCCGCGTCATAGAATTCAACCTTGAACGCCTTCGCTGGCGTCGCCTGCGCGCCAACGCCGCACGAACCTACCGTACAGGGGGAGTTCGGGGGAAGCATTGAAAATACACCAAAAATGCTCCAAACATACCCAAAAATAATAAAAACACGGTCCCCGCACTATATTTTGACTATTCGGGAAGAATCTCCTGTAGAGGGTGAGACCACAAGGGCGTTCATTGATTTCTGGTGCGGGAGCGTCACGCTTTCCATAGAAAGCCATCGAAACCCAAGAAACCCAGGGCACCCTGGAAGCAAGCAGGGTGTGACTTAGCATGGGCTTCCACACTGTAAGCAAGACGCACGAGACGGGTGTAAAGGCCTTGGACGGCCATGTCGACACTTTGCGAGCGAAGCGCGGCCCGCGAAAGCGGCCAAGGGTGGGCCGAAGGGGAAGGCGACCTCGGAAAGTCGCTGGTCCTTACTGTGCGGTTTGACTGTAGCCGCCGCCAGCGTCGCCCCCATGAAGTAAAGACAACTGCACAAGCATGAGGTCGGGCCTGTCCCCCTACAGGAAGATTTTGGGCAAAAAATCAAACGTACCCCAAAAATACTCCAAAGATGCTCAAGAATAGTCAAAAAGGGACCCATCAAGAGGCAAACATCACTGCGGTTCCTCTGAAGGGTCTCAGTGTTCTCGCTGTTTGGGGCTTCCAACGCTCCAAGACGGCCCAAGAGGCCGCCAACAGTGCCCCACGACGGCCCAAGAGACCCCCACTAGCTTTTCAATGGCTTGGGCCTTCTGGGGTCTCTTCGAAATCTCTTGGGAGCCTTGCGGGCGAGAGCCGTCTAGAAGCAATATTCGGCCGTCTCGGAACCATCTTGAAGTGTCTTGGGGGTGCCAATCGACCGTCTTGAGCCTCCTGGGGGCTCCCCTACGGCAGCGCATTATCCCAAGGCCGCAGAAGCCCCTTCGGAAAGAAAATGTGAGATCTTGAAAAACAAATGGTTTCCTCGGACTTCTCAAAATGTGGGCCTTTTCGTGTGCATCTTGAAGGGCCGAATGGGGCCAACTTGAGCTGTCTGGGGCCGTCTGGAGGTCATCTGGGGCCGGCTTGGCAGGCTAGAGGGCGGTCCCGAAGCCATCTGCGGCCGTCTCGGAGCCATCTTTGAACGATCATGGGGGCCCCAATCGACCGTCTCAGGCCTTTCTGAAACTCTTCGAGGGCGAGTGTGGAATCATCCTGAGGCTTCAGAAGCCCCTCAGAGACAAAAGGCGGGATCTTGAAATACGTTTCGCCCCGCGACGTTCTTTCAATGATGTGCCGCCCAGAATACTTCAACTTCGGCCTCCAAGGGTCTTGCGTCCGTACCACGCGTCCTTACTATACGGTTGCACTGTAGGAGACCTCCCTCGTGCTCCGAAGGAGCTGTGGGCCCGCGCGACCGGGCCGGGCCGCGGTCCTCGCCGCGGGGCTGTATAGCGGGTGCGACGGCCCTGCGCGGCCGCAGCGGGCCGCCGCGGGTGGGCGTGGGCCTGGCCATCGCTCGGACGTCCACTCCCTGTGTTTTTGCTCGGCTTCGTGCGTGGTCTTCTCGCCAAATGATCAAGGATGCTCCTCGATGGCCCCCGCCGGAGGAAAAATGCACACGTCCGAGCGACGCCAAGGAGCGGGCGCGGGAGCGGACGCGGGACTCTGGGCGCAGGTCCGTGCGCGGGCGTGGGCGCGGTCGGCGCGCGGGGCTCCGGGGCGAGCGCGGGCCCGAGAATGGTGGGTGCAGGGCTCTGGGCGTGGGCTCGGGCGTGCGAGGGGTGTCGGGCGTGGGCCTGGGCCCGGGCGCGGAGGAGGAGGAGGAGGAGGAGGAGGAGGAGGAGGAGGAGGAGGAGCGGGTGCGGATGTGGGCGTGGGTCGTGGAAGTGGGGTGGCGTGCGGGTGCAGACGGCTCAGCCTCTCTCGGAAGAGGCTCGCTCTCGACCCGCAGATCAAAAAAGCAAAACAACAGAAAAAATGTGGGTGCAGACGAAATCTGGACATCTGGACATGGCACGCGGGTGTTGGCATGGTTTGGGGCGTGGGCTTGGGCGTGGGTGTGGACGCGGGAGTGGGCGTGGGTGTGGACGACGAACGAAAGTTTGAACGCGGGTCTGGACGTGGATGTGAATGTGAGTTTGATTTGGATGTGAATTTCGAGATGGGTGTGGACGTGGAGTTGAACGCGGATGTGGAGGTGCGTCGGGACCTCGGCGTAGATTTGAACGGGTCTTCGGACGTGGTGGACATGGATTTCGGTGTTGGTTTCGACCTCGATTTGGGCTTGGGTTTGGACTTGGGTTGGGCCGTCTGGGGCTTCGCGAGGGACCCTCTTCGGACCTAAGGGCCACCTCGGGACCCTCTCGGGCCCATTATGTACGCCCTTTAGCTCCTCCGAGCCCTCCAGGAGCTCTCTTTCATCGAAACGTGCAGGACCTAAAAAAAAATGATCGAATGCAGATGCGAATCCTGAGAGGGCCTGACTGGTTTGGGAAGTCTGAAGGTCATGTTGGGACTGTTGTGTGGCACCTTGGCGCCGCCTTGGGACCCTCTGGAGCCTGCTGGGCCCACCTGCGCTCTCTGGGAGGCGTACTGGAGCCCCCTTGGGACATCCAGGCGGGCACTCCAGGCGCGTCCTGGGGTTCTCCTTGGAGGCTCGCGCAAGGGCCGGGGGGGGGGGGGAACCTCAGGAGAGGCTGCGGGGAGCGGAAGGGGAAGCAATGAACTCTGGGGGCTCTTGGTGGGGGGGAAGGCTTGGCGCCCAAGGGGCCCTGTTTCGTGCATGTGCGGAATGAGCCCGACCGAGGATGAGGGACTTCGGGCGAGACTGACGCAGTGGTAAGATTGGCTCAGGGTGCGCTCCGGGACTTCCAGAATGTATCTGGCGGTCCTCGTTGCTGCAGCCCGTGTAGAACATGAGAAAATCCTGGGCATCCTGGAATCCTTGGAAATCCTGGAACGTGTCATCATCATGACCTCTTGCTACTCTGAGGGACGAGCATCAGGGCGTGCTGCGATCGTGTCCTCGGCCGCCCCACCGCGCTCGGCGGTAGGCCGCGTGGGCGCCGCTCCGACGTCTGCCCACGGGGCCAGCGTGGCGAGCGGCACAGCGGCCACCGGTGCCCCTGCGCCGAGCTCAGCCTCGCTCCGCGATTGCTGGACCTCCCGAGAGCCCAGCTTAGGTGCTCGGTTCGGATTACGGGGGCGTCCCGTGAGCCTTCACGGGGATCCTCTGTGGACACCCGCGGCCCTGTCTTACCACCCTCGTCACCCTGTCGTCCAAAATTCGATCGGATTTCCTCCATGCATCGACCAAATCCGACGATATCGAGACGAAGCCTCCCGAACCGCAAGAAACTCGAGGAGGCCCTCTGTGGCTCCCATGAAGGACCCTACGAGGGGCGGCGATCCAGCGCGGACTTGCGGCGAAGATGCGTACGGCAGGTTCGTGTCGTGCCGACCCCAGCGTTGGTTTTTGACACCGCAGGGATCGTTCAACCTTGAACGATCGGCCGCTGCCGCAACGTCCGATCGTTCAACATCGATCGATTCTGGGTCGCCGGCGGCGTTCAACCTTGAACGCCCGCGCTGGGGTCGCCGCCGGTCGACACGACACAAACCTACCGTACGTATACTGTACTGGGTGCGACCATGGCTGCTGCTCGACCATGCCCGCTAGTGGCCCATCAACGCCTGACCCGCGGTCCGAACCGTGCATCTGCCAGAGGGAATCCTAGAGGCCTCCTAGAACGGGTCCGAGCAGATGCGGTCGGAGGATCGCGCCGCATCGGCGATGCTTCGGCGATGCATCGGCGGCGTCGGCGATGCATCGGCGACATCGCGATGGAGAAGACTAGGCTCCACATCGAGCCGCGTTGTCGATCCATCGGCGATGCGGCGGCGTCCTTCGACACCATCTACTCCGACCCCCTCCAGGAGCCCCGTAGATCCCGAGGGGATCCGACCGACCCCGGGCGGGCGAGCAGAACAGGCAGGCCAAGCGGGCTGGGGCTTGCCGACCTCACCGCCCGCCCGCCCAAGCACGGTCTCGCCCCCCGGGGCGGCGCCCACGGCCCTCTGGAGGTCCCCGCGGCAGCGGGCCTCGAGCTGCCCACCCGCTGCGGGCACCGTGGACTCCCCGAGCGCCGAGTGGGACTGCTCCGGGGTCGCCTCTCGGGCGGGCCAGGCGTGGGAGCAGCACGAGCAACCGAAGAAACATGGCTGCTGGCCGCAGCGTGCTCCTGTCCGTCCAGTGTCCAACCTCTGTGATACCGTCTGCTGTCCGGCTGAAGGCCCAGGAGAGCCCCAGGTAAAACATGGGGCCCAAGGAAGGGATCGTCCTAGGGGTGGAATCCAAGAGACTACCTCTTAACAACCCCATGCCCCCAAACTCTTCTTTCGGTGTCTCTAGACTGTCAGCGAGCCAAACGCATATGCCACCCCTTCCTGAACGTCCCCAAATTGCTGACCCTCCGCACCTGAGTTTTGAACGCAAACAGACATCTGAGCTCAGGACATCAACGGAAACCATAAGCAAGTCATAATGCAAATATGAGGCTTCGCTGCATCAATATGGAATCGCAACGAGGCGAGGTGGATACGCAACATGGAGAAGCGGTGAGACAGCGACACAGGGCCACAAGAACGTAGGTCAAGAACATCAGCCCCTTCGCCGATGTCCAAAGGTCTCATGGACATACCCCAGACCGAGAAGACACCAATGTGTCGACCTTTTTTCACAAAAAAAACTCCAAATCTATGGATGTCATGAACCCTCGCGCTGGCTGCACAGAGTAGTTGCATTCCTAGGCTTCGCCATCATGACTTCATTAGATTGCTACTGGTGTGATATATGATAGCTGAGGGGCGGATTTGAGGTTTTAAGTGTGTTGTTGAAGTGAAGAGGCAACAGCTAGGCCGCAAGGACGCCGCTGGGATGCGTCAGCTTCCCGCATGTAGAGAGGCTATGGTGGTCTGACCTGATGTCATTCTGACTGCAGTCGAGGAACGCGGCAGAAACAGAAACGTTCAGAGTTCCGTGCAGACTTCGTGGGACGGCGCCGGGGGCGGCGCCGGAGCCGCCACCAGGGGAACTCCCAACACCAGGACCTCGAAGCGAACAGTTGTTCGAACCGCAGCGACGAGGGGGGGCCTTTCTTTCCTTCCCCCTCTGCGGGCCGGAACCAGTGACGAGCCACCTCAGCCCCCCAGCCGGCTCCCTCGGGGAGACGGAAGACTCGGGCACGGGGGCCTCAGGTTGGCCTGACGGGGCCATCATGAAAATGACGAGGCCAACTCTGAAATTTGACGTGAGCTCACACTGACTGGCCTGTTTTCCACCACCACCACCATAAGTTGGAGGGGGGGAGGAGGAGGAGGAGGAGGAGGAGGAGGAGGAGGAGGAGGAGGAGGACCCCCTCCCCCTCCAACTCATGGTGGTGGTGGTGGAAAACAGGTTCATCACACACTGCAGACATCCCACGAGAACTGGACCGTCGAAATCCAGGACGCACTCGTCAAAAAGCGTCGGCAAGCCCGAGTTCCGGCGTACTCGAGTCCTACGTCTAGTTCGGGCAAGTCCTCCTACAGGCGGATTTGGGACGAAAAATAATAATAAAAAAAACAAAACAACAGCATTCTTCAAGCACGATCACGCATACTCGAAAAATCGTCCCCACACTACTACGTTTCTACCACTCTTGAATGCATCTCCTTGAGATGGACGTGCCCGACTCAGTCGCACGTTTCCCCGATCCAAGTGGAGGGGCCAGCAAGCGGAGGGGGAGCGCGCCGGCAGCCTTGCCCTGCACGCCCTGCTGCGGCGAGGCGCGGTGCTCGCCCAGCGGCAAGCCCCCCGCGGCGCCGAACCGGAACACGGTGAAGAGGGCACCCTCGAGTCGAGGGACGTGAGGGGCAATGGCAAGGGGAGGAGGAGGAGGAGGAGGAGGAGGAGGAGGAGAGGAGGAGGAGGAGAGGGGGGAGGAGGATGAGGAGGAGGGAGGAGGAGAGGAGAGGAGGAGGAGAGGAGGAGGAGAGGAGGAGGAGAGGAGGAGGAGGAGGAGGAGGAGGGAGGGAGGAGGATGGGGAGAGGAGGGGAGGAGGAGGAGGAGGGGGAGGAGGGAGGAGGAGGGGAGGAGGAGGAGGAGGAGGAGGAGGGAGGAGGAGGAGGAGGAGGAGATCCGTAGCCATTTTGGCTCAAGCCATTTGGCTCAAGCTGGTCAGAGACCCGCACGACCCTCGATCAGTGGCCCTGCCCAGGGTGAGGGTCCTACCTACCCGCATACTCGCCACACCTTGTGGCCCAAGTTTCCTGTTCGAGCTCTCTCATGGCTTGGGGAGATGCAGCAGGCGGACACCAGAAGAGTGTGTCTTGGGCTGGCGAACGTGGCAGCAACAAGCGAGGAGGTTCGAAGGGGCCCCATCGGAAGTGGCAGTGTCAGCTCTGTGGTTGTAAGAAGAACGGCTGGAGCTCCTGGTATTGCGTGCACTGCCGCGTTGCCTGGAACGAGCCCGTCGCCGAGGAGGAGGGCATGCTCGCGGCGGACGTCCCGCCCCGCTCGGTCGGCTTGCAGCCCCCCCCTGGCCTGGGCAACGGGGACGCGCAGCTCTCGGTGGCCGAGATCCAGCAGCTCATCAGCCTTGGCACTAAGACGGGTGACCACGTGCTGGTCACCAAGTACCAGAAGCTATTGGAGTCCAAGCAGAAGGAGGCGGCCCAGCCGAAGGAGCCGCCGCTGCAGGTGCGTGCGCACCGAGCGCACGCGCAGATCGTGCATCTTGAGAAGGTGCTGGAGGCAGCAATCGACAAGTTGGGTCGGCTACGCCAAGCGGTCGCAGACCAGGAGACGGAGGTCCAGCTGCTGCAGACGAAGCTTGGCGACGCGGACGACGAGTACAAGGGTTTGCTCAGGGCCATGTACAGCCAGGCCCACAGTGACTAGCCCGCGGCACCGAAGATCAATTTGGAGCAGTTGCTTGCAGGAGACACGTCGTGCATCGACCTGGACGGCTGCGACGACTTCTTCGGTCTTGCTGACATCTATGAGTTCACCGACACGGACAAGAAGGAGGCAGCTGCCAGGAAGGAGCAGCTGCGCAAAGGAGTGCAGGACATGGCGAAGCAGCTATTCGGAGGAGCCAAGGAGACCGCGGAGAAGTTGCGTCAGGAGCATTCCGCACACGTCAGCAGGTTGCAGAAGAAGCGGAAGGGCGCCGAGGGCAACTCCGAGGGCGGCGGGCAGCGCTGTGCTGAGCCGCCTGGTGGTGCTGCTCCTCCAGCGGCTGCTGCTGCTGGAGGCCCTGACGCCCCTGACAGCCCTGTGCGAGGCTCGGGCGGTGGCGGAGCCACTGCCAGCTCTCCCAAAGTGGACGTGCGTGCTAGGGCCGCCGAGGCTCTCGGCAGCAAGGGAGGAGGAAGCGGTGCTGGAAGGGAAGCTGGAGGCGTCCCAGGCGCGTCTGGGGCGGCAGGAGGGGCCCAGGGGAAAACGTCTGGTGGGTAGCAGCCTGCCTTGCCCCACTTGCTGGTGGGGCAATGCGGCGGTGGGTCTCTCGCGGCCGCCTGGGATCTTCTCTCGGTCGCTGGTTTGGCCCCCGCCCCCGCCGACATCCCACCCCCCCGATCTGCCGTCCCCAGCTCTTCCTCTTCCCCCTAGTGCCTGGCCTCTTACAGGGCCCCAAGCAGTTCGTAAGAGTAGGCTAGCCCAGCCAGGGCAGAGTAAGAATAAATCGCCCAGGTCTCGCCAGGGAGAGTTCTTCTGTCTAGAAACCTGTAATACCACGGCCTGGTCCTCGGCAAAGCAGTTTCTCCAGGGGGAAGCGTCGAGTCATATCGTCATGCTTCAGGAACTAACTGTTGACCCGTCGGATCGAGTTGATTGCGAAGCTCAGTTGAAGAAGCTAGGCTGGCAGGCGTCCCTTCACTCGTCGGAGGTCACCGAGGCTGGAGGCCTGTCAGGAGGCGCCACGGTTGCGTGCAGGGATTTCGTCGGGCTGGGCACGCCGCCGACGGACGTCAAGCGCTTGCCGAGCCCGCATCGCCAGCAGCTGATGTGGGTCAACGCGTATGTGCCAGGGGGGCTCATCATTGGGTCCATCTACTTGCCCGACCAGGACCCATTGGGGCCTACTGGGAGCCAAATTTTGAGTAGAATCGGAGAGCAGTTACATTCTTGGGGCTTACCGTTTGTCCTTGGAGGTGACTGGAACGTTTCACCGGATAGACTCCAGGAGTTGGGGTGGGCTGGCCGTCTCGGGGGACAGATTGTGAAGCCAGCGTCTTACACGTGTAAGTCCACTGCCAAGGTCTGGAAAACGATTGACTACTTTGTGATGTCTGCAGGTCTGACGGCCAGCGTCCATTCTTGTGCCATCAGTAGGAAGGCGTCGACGAAGCCGCACTGGCCCGTCGTGGTCAAGTTTCGCAGCGAGCCCTTGAGCGTGCTGGTCCAGTCGCTCCGCCAGCCGAGGGCCTTCCCGCAGGACATTGTGATAGGACCCATGCCAGAACCACTCGATTATCGGGAGCTCCTGGACTCTGTTCGATCGGTTGGGGATCGTGAGTCGTTGGATGCGTGCTATCGGGTTTTCGTCGAGTCGCTGGAACGTGAGCTTGGAACCTATCACGGAGTTTTGGATCAGAAGCAGTACTTTGGTAGAGCGGTGGAGCCTACCATTGTGAAAGTATCAGCTGTCAGGACGTCTGGAGGTCGGTATCCCGTCGGAAGTCCTGAGAGTCGTGGGTGGCGTCGCGTTTCCAAGCTTTTCTCGGAGCTGGTTTACATCAAGAGACGGGGACTCAGATGGGGTGAAGGCGAGTCTATGGGGCTTCTGAAGGCGGTCGAGTGGGGACCTAAGCAGTTGCGCAAAGACACGTCCTGGCAGCAGTGGGTCCCGTCTTTTGGACGTATGTTTCACGCCTCCCTCGAGCAGTTGCAGGCCTGGAGCGATGAGGCAGAAGGTTTCGCCAAAGTGTACGAACGCAAGTTTACCTCGGAGCGGGGCAAGCGTTGGCGCGAGTGGGTGCAGGAGGCTGTGTCCGCTGGCGCTGGCAAGGCCCACAAGTATTCGCAGTGCCCGATTGGCTGGGTGGCCCCTGAGTCTAGCACGGTCAAGGCGGGAGGATTTTCGGTCCCGCTGGGACCACAAGAGACGGTTGGCGGGCTTACCAAGTTTTGGTGTGATATCTGGGAGCCCCTCCCAGAGGCCTCGAAGTTCCCCGATCCCATCCAGTTCCTGACGCACCAGATCCAGGCCCAGGCTGACGAGCAGGGAGTCTCGGTCCAGGAGCTGTGTTCGGAGGAGCGATCAGTGGGAGACATCAGGGTTGCCATCAGGAAGTTCCCGAAAGGGACGGCGGCTGGGGTGGATGCACTTCGGCCTCGGGACCTGGATAAGGCCTCGGATGGCCTGCTGGAGGTTTTGGGTGCGCTGTGGCCTAAGATGGAGCTCGTGGGCACCTACCCCACCATCCTCCTCACCACCATCCTCGCCATGTTGGGGAAGCCCTAGGGAGGTTTTCGCCCGATAGCTCTGCTGCCCACACCCACGCGTGTGTTCTCCAAGCTGTCGCGGGGCGAGATAAAGCGATGGGAGCGTGATAATAATCGTGCTTACCTTTACGGAGTGCACGGCAAGAGCTACAAACGAGCGGTCTGGGAGCAGAGCTTGACGGTCGAGCAGCACGTCAGCGTAGGTGGGTGTTCAGGCTCGTGCCTCGTGGACCTCACAAAGGCCTACGAGAAGGTGTGCCATTATTTGCTGGCCGTCGCGGCCGTCAAGCATAAGTTTAGTCTGGTGAAGCTGCGCCTGTTGCTGTCGCTCTACCGTGCGAGAAGAATCATCAATGTGTGTGGAGTCGTTGGAACCCCCCCGTGCTGGCTTTCCAAGGGATCCTGGCAGGCTGTGGTTTTGCTACGACGCTTTTACGTGTGATGCTCATGGACCCCATGGACCTCACCAGGGAGTGTTACTTTAGTGTGCGGTTGTTCAATGTAGTAGACGACATCACGGCGCAGGCTTCGGGCAGTAGGAAACATGTCGAGAGCGTCCTGCCCCGTGCTGTGTACTTTCTGTGCCTGCAGCTCGAGAAGCTGCAGCTGGTGATCTCGAGGTCGAAGGGCCTCGTCCTTTGCAGTCACTCGGCGGCGAGGGTGACCATTGTGTCTAGGCTTAAGAAGTGGAGTTTCACTGGTGCTAGTTCTGGACGGAACCTGGGCTGCGACCAGACGATGCAGAAAGGAGCCAAGGGATCCAAGGTCCTCCAAAAACGGTTGCACAAAATCAGGCTTCGGAAAGGCAGGCTCCGTGGGCTCAGTAGTGCCAAGAAGGGTTTGTTCAAGGTTGCTCGGACGGGAGGCCTTCCCTCGGCCACGTACGGTTGCCGCGTCAATGGTATGTCCACCTCCGCCCTTGGCCAGCTTCGAGCTGGCTTGGGGAGTGCGCTTTTTGGGACGCCAAAAGGGAGGTGCAGGACGTTGGAGTTTCTCCTCTCGGTGGAGCCCAAGGCGGATCCATCATATTATGTGCATGCGTTACCCATCCTTGCTTGGGGACAAGCCGCTCGCTTGAGCTGGGCAGAGCAGCGTGTCATGGAGGAGTGTTTCAATTCATTGTATCACCGTCCTGCTCGTGGGTGGCAAGATGTCCGTGGACCCGCGGGCGCAGTTGTCCTCACGATCGAAAGGCTGGGTTGGCAGGTAAAAAGCTGGTGTAAGGTTGTGACTGTTCGGGGAGTGGAAGTGGATGTGAGCTTCTTGGGATACAGGTCGCTCAAGGTTGTCCTTCACCAGTCTGTTCGGGATATGCAGCTTAGAGGCCTGGGAGATGGGGTCAGAGTCCCAGGTCTTTCTGGAGGGCCGATGCTCGAACCCGTCATCGAGGTCCTTCAGAAGCT